GGAGGGTGCGCATTCCATCGTTAATTGACTGCTTGTGTGTTTTCAGCGAACGAGGACCAACTTGTTGGAAACCAGACTGTTTGGGAGAAACCACACGTAGGGTGAACCTGAGGCACAGTGGTATTAACCTTTCATTAACATTGGCATGCAAATAATGAGGAGTGAAGAAGGAATTCGACGGCTGGCGGAAAATGTGTGAGAAGCATGGCGTGTTCGGAATGAGATAAAGATCAGCGAGGCTGGTAAAGAGAATCATCTAGGAATATACACACAGAAACCGTCGGAAACACTAGGGATAGCAGAAGTCTATCTGTAGAAAAACCATTCATTGTCTTCGTAACAAATTGCTGTACATGTTACAGGGAAACCTGCATCCGACATAAGATGCTACAGAAGCATGGTGTCACACTGCTACGGAAGCATCTAGTAGCTTTGAATTCCCATGGATGTACCAACTATAGGCTTAGAGCAGTCAAAAAAACCCACAGGAGTGCCAACTTATGGAGTCGGACATAGGACGATACTCGAACCAAATTTCCCGCTTGCTCGGCGGTTGCGTTATCCATTACAGTAACACGGCCGCTCTTACCCTCTCAACTCAATATTGCCTTGTGGCACTCATACATCTAACGCGATGGTTTGTTTAACGCTGCAGTGCGCGCTTCGAGGAGTGCAAGTTATGGACAAAAGTCAGACCTCGAACGGGACTCGAACCCGCTTCTCCCACTTACCGGGCAGTTGTGCTATCCGTCAAAATACTAGCCATGAGCGAGGTTTGAGGCTGGAGGCCGAGGAAGTCGCTGATGTCTCCGAGGCTGAGGAGGCCACATTCTATGGGCGGAGGCGGAGCTACACCCTAGGCGAGTGCCTTTTCCTCAGTGATGCACTCCATTGTAGAAGAGGGGAACCGATCAGAAAAGCTCGTCAGGGAAGTCCGTTGCGCCCTTACCGCAGTCGAGGAATGTGCCTGTAATTTACTTCTAGTGTGCCAATGGGCAAAGCAGTGCTTCGATCTCTACAGAAGACAAAAAACACCCACTACTTTACTTACGTCTTCCCTATTGGCATGTTTCTGAGTATGCGAACCACCTCGTAATGTCGCATACCAGTCACATTAATCCCGTCAATCTTCTCAATTAGTTGACCGATGGCAAGAGCTGGGCTAGCACGAGCTGCAAGGAAGTAAGGTCAAAGAAGAACAGGAATCCGCAGTGGATCTATTCCTACCCGTCCCAACTCACATGCAATGCTGTTTTCCTTCATACGTTTGATGAATGATCGGCAGCGTCCGTTGTCACTTACAGTAAGACCAAATAGTCTGTAATGAGCGTTGTGAACTAAGTTCGTATGTGCAGAGCAGTGAACTAAAGACTTGGCCCTTGGTAACGATAGGGCGTGTGGCGCGACGTGTACGCGCAGCGATCACACCTTGTTCCCCCAATGATGGCATCCTGAGCACGCTTTTAATGGTGGGAAATTTAATGACTGCATTTTGGTGCGCGTGATGAATTTGTAGTTAGTCCACTTCGTCAAGAGTGATTTGAAGTCACTGAGGGCATAAGAATACTGTGTAGTCTTACGCTTCAGATTTAGTGAGTTCCACTTCGACAGCTTGGCCTTTCACATGAGCGAACAACATGTCGGAATACTCCAAGGTGCCAGCAAAGAGTTTATCCATGTCGACCTGAAGTCCAGTAAACGTAACTACGTTCAAGCCGGGTTGCTATTTCGAAACCTACCTTGAAAGTGTTAATTGTGCAGAAAATGATGTCATCAGGGGAGATGTTGAAACAATCGGCGATGGACTGAAAGTTAGCTCGTAGCTTTGGCTTCGTAGAAACAGAAAAGAAAACGTCCCAACCTGGAAGAGTTCATCCACAGATGTGAAGTTGGAGATGAT